GGCTCTAGATAGGGCATTTCACATGTTTCTTTCACATGAGTTTTGCAACCACCGTAGTTGCTCCTATACACTTGGAAGGCGAGCTGTATTCAGGTGGTTGCAATTTGCAACTTCACCTTTAGATGTCACTAAATCCTACACACTGGTCCTTTAAGTCTGACACAGTGATTAATAATAAAAAAATGTATATAGAGCATGTTACAGCGTGTCAAATTACTGTTTCTGTAATCACTGCTCTCTGCCTTTGTAAGGCCACTATCATTCCAAGTCCAGACTCTACACTGTATCAATTAGGCTGTGTGATTCAGTCTGATAGACAGTCCAGCTTTTGTGTTACTGTCATTGCCTCTAGAAGTCCCCCTTATTTTCTCTGCCCGGGTCATTTTTCTGCCTCCAGCATTTGCTTCCACATCCAGCTGCCCCCCTGCTATTTTTTAAAAGCCAGACAGAGGGACTGTGGCCCAGAAATCCTGCTCTGAAGATGGGTACCAACTCGCTGTCAGCAGTGCTGTCTGCCCTCCTGGGACCTAGCCTGATTACAGCACCATCGTTCTCTCTCTTTTAGTTCTGGACACACACAGAGAAACACACACACACACACAGTTGTAGCACTGCCCTCGATGCACATCTGTACTTTGCAGCTCATTGAATATGCCTTTTCAACTGCATTATTATTTTCTAAGAGCCTTGAATCTGTGTGGCCTCTTGTCACTGTATTTTCAGGCTCTGTGAAGTCTCAGAGTCTGAGAGACGGAGATGACTGTGGAGATATTGTTGCCGATGACAGCTGGCCGGTCACATAATTGGCTTTTCGACATGTCACTCTCTATCACTGATGTTTCCATTGGAGCAGAACACTGGCCTTGGGAAAAGGAATCCACTGCTACATCTATAATTCAACTGAGACTCAAACTGTCTACAGCCAGCAGTTTTTACTTAGCAAAACTTACAGCTTATAGTACTTGGCACAGGTAGTTTGCCAGGAACTGTTACTGCAGGGTTTGTTTCATACCAGGTCAACAGGAGCAGTAATTAGGCCGAGGTGTGTTTTTGGACCACCTACTCAGAGGAATACTCCCAGTTTTTGAGAAAATGCTTTACTGGTCAGCTTACCCGTTAAGTGATGAAAATGCAAGAAGCAAAATGATCCATCTGTCCCTGGCAGATTACCGGCTCCAGTGCTGTCACTTCAGCAAACACTAGAAACAGCCTGCTCCAGGAGAACTGTCTACACCAGCATTTCCAGTCCCATCTTCAGGTACTCCCTGTTACTGGATCAAACCTGTTCCAGCATTAGTGTCTTTGGTTGAATGCTTCGGTGGTTGCTCGTAGTAATGGCAGATGTTGGATCTGATTCAGTTTCATGGTAAATATTGCACAAAATAAAACAAAAACAAGCACGAAAAAGACATGCAGTTGAGACTACTAACCCATTTTACCAAGGAGATAAATGACTTTCCAGCAGTGTGTTTTTATACAGGCGCAGTGTAGCCAGGTCCAAACAGACGACTGTCTTGTATAAATAATACAGACAGATCAGCATGTGACCATACAATCCATACACTGTGGACTTCCAACAGATATTTATAGACTTCATAGCACTTCCCCACACAAAGAAGAAGCTGTTTAACACATACATTTCATTAGTCTTTCCACACAGAAACACACACAGCATCAGTTAAAACGAAATCAACCCTATTTTCAGACAAGAGACGTCATAATAGAATATTTAAAAAAAAACCCAGATTATGTTCACTGACATTTTTTCACACCAAATTTCAACATTTTTAAAATTCTTGCTTTACATTATGGATACGTGGCAACAACAGAATGGATAAGTTTAAGGAAAGATAAGTGTTACAGTTAATAAAAAGGCAAAGACTGATCGTAGGTCTGTGATGAGATGCATGAAAGTCTGACTCTCTGATTCACTACCTGCATGACTGACTGCAATTAGAAATTGTCATACAATATGACTATATAAGTGAGATATAGTGAGATTTGTCCTCTGCAATTAACCCATACTGGGAGTACTGGGGTCAGTGGACAGCCACTATACAGCGCCCGGGGACTAACTCCAGATCTAAACCAGTGCCTACATCAATGGCACTGAGAGAAGACTAATGCCATTCTCACGTCTGTGGGCAAAGTATGGACTAGCATAGCATAGCATAAAGACTGAAAACAGAGGGAAACCGTTAGCCTAGCTGTTATGGATTTAAGGTTCTATGTGAAGCAGCAACAATATCTTTCCCAAACAAATAATCAAATCCAGTCTTTAAATCATGGCAAACATTTGTACATTAAATTGTCATAAATATTTCAAATAACAATTAGCCAGATATATAACAAATAGGATTAAAGATCATCCATTAACCTTCATGTCAACTCTTACACCTCTATAATCTCAATGAATACTAAGAAACTGCTACTTACACTGAAGGTTCAATGACAGATGGCAAACACCTACAAACACTCATCAAGTGTCCAGCCCA